CAGTAGGTCGCATGTACGGTTTAACTAGAGTTTTTCAAGGTTTTTTATCAAAGTGTGCATGCACTTTACAACTGCACTTTAATGCATGTATAGCGATACTATTGCATTCTAAAAGCTAATAAAAATGAATCCAGCGAGGCGTCATTGTTCACACACAACACAAAAATAAAAATTGTGGGCCTGTTAGTTCAGAGAGTTGGCCTATAGTGTCCTTTCTATGCTTAAGCAGCCCATTTTGCAACAACGATTATAGGTGCGTTCACACGGACGGTTTTTTAGGCGCGAGCCCTAATTAGGGCCCCGCGCCAAAGTTTGACTTCGAGCCGAGCGTGTCACACGGACGGTTTTTTTTTTCTGGGCCGTGCGCGAGTTAGCACGACGTCATATGCGGTCCATCGAAAACGTCTGACAGGCCGAGCCAAATTTTGCCACGCGCTAAATGGCTAAGACGGTAGAGCGGTAGATGCGCGAGTGCGAATCGTGTACTTCGACGAAAAAATGAAAGTCCAAAACAGTATAAAAATTCGAAAATTGATCAAGTATGCATGTTTTCAAGATTGATATGAACTTCGCGAAGGGAAAGTAAAACACTGATCGTACACAACACCATTTCGCACATACTGCCAAAGTATCTGTGAGATATTTAGTGCAATAAAGAATCTTATGTTGAATTTGACAGAGACAGTATTCACTTGCGTGACGTCTGTTGCAACGTCCGCCTCAAACCAGCCCGACGCCAAATTTGCCTGAGCCAAAATTTAGCCCATTAGCTCGACAGCCAAACCCATTACCGTGGAGACGCAAATGTATAATGCAACAAATAATGTATCAAGTGCCAATCAGCAAGCATCCTGCTAAGTATAAGGGAACTATTTGCTACTAATTATTGTGTTTAATATGACTGCTGATATGTTATAGTTTATAATGATATACTATATATATACTACCTACGTATGTACCTATTCATATATAATAAATTATACAATAAATGTAATATGATTTATCGACATTTGAATGAAAAACAAACGTGTTTCTATTCACTCCTGATGTTATACGTGTAAAGATATATCTTATAATACAAGATATTATACATGAAACGATATAATAATATATCATATCTATTTTACACGACAGAATACATACAGACACAGTAATCAATCACCTATGGTATTACCTATCAAATATGATCAATGATGAGTATATCATCACATCACCAAAAAGACTAAGAATATACTAATAGTACAACAACGATGTATAGCAAAAGAAGACATGCTCACTCTCCAACTCTTTCCCTCCTGCTCCTCCATGGTGACGACACCTCGTTGACCCCTCGTAGAGCGACGCTGCAGGTCGTGAATCTCCTTCTGGTATTCCTCTCTCTCTTGCTCTCTCTCTGCTGCCTGCTCCTGTAACACACGTAATGCAGCCCACGTGTGTGAGGTTGGTCTATCTCTCTCTCTGTCTTTTTGTATCGCTCTCTCTATCTCTGTCTCTCTCTCTCTCTCTCTATCTCTGTCTCTCTGTCTCTGTCTCTCTCTCTCTCTATCTCTGTCTCTCTGTCTCTCTTCTGTCTCTCTCTCTCTGCTATTCTCTCGTCTCTCGTGTCCTCAGCTCACTCTCTCTCTCTCTCTCTTCTCTCTCTCTCTCTCTCTCTCTCTCTCTCTCTCTCTCTCTCTCTCTCTCTCTCTCTCTCTCTCTACTCTCTCTCTGCTTCTCTCTCTCTCTCTACTTCATCTCTCTCTCCTCTCTGCTCTCTCTCTCTCTCTCTCTCTCTCTCTCTCTCTCTCCCTTCCTCCCTCTCCCTCCCTCCCTCCCTTCCTCACTCATCAACAACACCAACCTCTAGGAACATCTTGTTCGACTTCAGCTGTTTCTCCACATTCTCCAGCTGCTTCCGCCAATCGTCGCCCTCCGCCCGCTGCCGCTCCTCAACCTCCACCAGGCGGCGCTGCGCCTCGACGAGCGTCGCCGCGGCGTCCTCCAGGCGGCGCTGGTGTTCTCGCTGCGTGGTCTCGGCCTCGCGCTGTCGCTCGCGCCTCTCCTGCTGTAGTCGCTCCACCTCCCGCAGCAGACCTGCTGGCGAGCGAACAAACGACGTCGGCACCGACCGCAGGGGGGCGCCACTGCTGCGCACGTGACGCCGACAGCGCCCCCTACGTGTGCAGCATTGCGCATTCACGAGAACGACGGCGGCGGCGTCGCGCTACCGCGATTTGTCTATGTCATGCTATGGCAGTTGCAGCGGTAGGAGCAAGCACGGGCTAAACGAAAGATGCGCGTCTACCGTATATACTCGCGTAATAACCACAAATTTGGCCTCAGATTTCAACCCTGTATTTGCTCTGCGGTTTATAAGTGCGCCATACCGTGAGGGGAAATATACTAGGCGCAATACTTAGGTTACCCGATTCAAATTGAGGTGCGGCTTATAGGCGCTCGCGGTTATTACGCGATCATATACGGTAGTTAAAAATGCTTTTACACGTATAATACGTACTGTATATCTACCCAAACCTTTAACTCGAGGATTACGTATACGATACACACGTATTTGACTTTCTTTCCCTTGCACCCCACATGCACGTGCCACCTTGGTATTAATCGGCATGCTCGCACGCTCTCTTGTTGGAAACGTGCGTGCGCGTGCGTGTGTGATGTGTTCGCGTATAGGAGATAACCGCCTCTTGCTACTTCCAACCCGACACCCTCTCATGCAATGACGGCTACATTTCTGCTGCTGCTGGTGCTACTGCTGCTGCTGCTGATGATGATGCTGCTGCTGCTGCTACTGCTTCTGCTGCTGCTGCTGCTGCTGCTGCTGCTACTGCTACTACTGCTGCTGCTGCTGCTACTGCTACTACTGCTACTACTGCTACTGCTGCTACTGCTGCTACTGCTAGAGGGGCCGGGGGCAGAGCTTGTGCATGTAGCATGAGAAGGTGATGGGGAGTGGCCGTGCAAACGGAGCGATTTTCGGCGTGCGCGCGAGAGAGAGAGAGTCGTTGGGTTGAGCGTCGGTAAACAGGTTGTGGTCGATCGTCAGCAGCATCAGCAGCAGCAGCAGCAGCATCAGCCCTTTAGCACGGAAATGCGATCGCAGGGTTCTCCCCCGGACCATACTGGTCTAACATGCGTTACAAAGCTGAAGTTATTTAGCGACATTGTGTAAAACTTTCGACATTTCTGAATGCTTTATACATTATTTATTTGTATTAATTTATTATACATATTTTTATTTTATTAATAATTCTTTAAAGCTTTATACATGTCTTAACTGTCTAATCGAGCCTCGATTTTTCGGGCGAGTCTATGTACAGCTACAATATTAGCAAGCGCTAGCAGAAATGCGAAGTCTACATCATGCAACGCGGCGGGGGAGGGGGGGGGTATATCGCAGACGACGGGGGAAACTTAAACTTGCCTTTGCCTGGTCGTCACACACACGCAGAGAGACCGGTCGCGCAAAGCGTCAGCGAAAAGTGCGGATGGAAAAAAAAGAAGAAGAGAGAAACAAGTCATGCCGTTACCGTGACGACTACACATCGATGCAAACAACCATGCTGTTAAACCGCATCTTCTAACGTTTGCAAAAAATATTTTTTTGTCATATTGTCTAGAGCAAGGATAACAAATGGTTTTCCATGCAAAATTAGAATTCAGCTAGAAATTAGAAATTAATCAGCTAAACTATATGTTGATAGAGAATTATAAAATAATAAAGCGTAAAAAATTGTTATACTCTTTCAAACTGTAAAATAGTATCTATTAACCTGATAAATTTACCAAAAATAAATTATTTCTCAAATAACTGGAAATGATAGATCGATTCTGCTTGCTGCTCATGGTTACACGTGTTGACGCGTGTTAGATATTATTTACAAAACATGTAAGAACATTGTTTGTCAGTTTTGTCAGTATGCAAAGTTTTAGATATTAGTATTATTAATTAGCATTACGATAATTTATTGACAATGAAGCTTTGTCAGAACGTAAGCAGCTTGCAAAGCGAATCAGGTTATAACAAACAAACAAATAAACATTCGCCACGTTAGAGTTTCCGTAGAACTTAGCACACTCCGTTCTACGATTAGTAGGTTATGTTTTAGTTTTTAGTCTATGTTGACGACATACTGGACATGGTCATGTTTGCCATGGCCCTGTTACACAAGTGTTCCCCAGATTGCAGATACCTGTGTACCTGTAGAGTCAGGGGTCGAAATTATATTTTTATTATGGTATCCATTCAGGATACCAGGTATTGAAATCTGGTATCCCCCCAAAGATCTGGTATCCCATTTTTTGGATAGTAATTTCAACAATGTTGGTATCCAAAATCTTTAAATATGCAATAATAGTATTTGAAAATTATTAATATGTAATGTAATTATTATATAAAAACATGAAAACAGATTCACAGATATGCACAGACAAGTACACTGCAGACGTATTGTCTAAACACATTGTCTGGTTCGCTTGATACAATGTATACACATCACATTTATGATCAGATCGCGCGCACTCCTCTACTTGCACTCGCTCAGATGCGCTGCCGCATAAAGTTGATAACTCAACAACCACTATCCCGATTTTGATGATTTTTTTTACTATCCCGGCAGGATACCAAGCATTGAAATCTGGTATTCAACACAAGAATCTACTATCCCGCGGATATCGGGATACCGCTAATTTCGACCCCTGAGAGTATTACTGTACTCTGGAAGTAACACCCAACTCTACACACAGAGACATGCGTGCGTCCCCGTAAAACAGTATTATCGTACTCTGAAAGGAGTGGTTGAATCTTACTCGCAGAAACTATTAAGCAAAAACAAAATATATGTGTGGTTACTGTCACATGCCGGAAAAAATAGGGTAGGTAGGTAGGGAAACATTTATTTTTATATGAAATTATTTTATTTACGAACCATGTCCGAAGGATGTGCGTTGTGCCTTTTGAAGCAGGAACTGTCCAATTCATATTTTTATTTATTTTTATTTTTTTTAAATTATTTTTTTTAAACAGAATTGACAATAAAATGTTTAGGGTTGCTGGGAATAAATAGGGTCGGTCGGGAAACCGTAACCACACCTATATTTTGTTTTGGCCTTACTGGACTGTGGTGGGTATGGTCAGGGCCAAGAGGCAACAATGATGAGTGCACAACATACAGAGGATATTAGTCTACATCTAACAAAAACACACACGCACATACACAGACAGACACATACATACGCAGGTACACACGCACGCACACAGATGCACACACACACAGGGGGATGATAGGGGGATAGGTTAGGGTTAGAGTTAAGGAACGACAGGGGGTTAGGTGCAAACGTGCGACTTTCACACACAACATCAATTCCCTCTGACCGACCGAGCGGGCGACCGAGCTCGTGGGCGACAGCAGCGCCACCTACCTTGCGCCTCGTCGCCGAGCCGGCCCGCCAGGAGGCCGCGGTCTCGCTCCAGCTGCCGCCGCTCCTCGTCAAGGTCGTCTCGCGCGCGCTCAAGGTCGCGCAGCCGGCTAGAGGTCAGTTCCAGTTCTACGTCGAGGCCCTGCCGGATGTCGCGCTCCACGTGTAGCTCCTGCTCCAGCCGCGTGTTGTCCGCATGCAGCGCAGCCAGCCGACCTGCGCGACGCACAAGACGTCAGAGGGCGCCACAGGGTAGAGGGAGAGGAGAGGGCCCTCACGGCGGCGCGAGGAAGTGGTCGGAAAGAGGGGGAGGATGAGGGGGAGGATTTTTTTTTCCGGGCAGAGAAGAGCGATTGTCGCATTCGCTTCAAACTATAGATTTAATTGGCGATTCTAGGTTGGAAGGAAACCAGCGTTAGTAATGACAGCAACGACTTGCCCTCGGTAGTTTTCGCACGCAGCGTATAGATGGCGCTGCATGCTCACTCACCCTCCGCGGCGTGCAGCTCCCGCGCGACGTACTCGCGAGCTTCCGTCTCCTCCCTCAGCTTCAGCTGTACTTCCTCCGTCTCGTGCGCGAGCTGAGCTAGAGACTCCGCGCCCGCCTCCGCCGCGCTGCCCGACAGTAGCGCCATCTGTGTCGCGTGGCTGTCGCGCAGCTGCGCAAGAGATAGAGGGAGCCACGGTTGATCGGATGTCCAGTTATTCGCGTAACTGCTCGTTCAGTCACGCTGCTTCACGGGTCGTAGTCATTCATCTCACGTTTATTCTGTTTTCCTCTCATTCACTCATTCACTCCACATTCAGCCCTTCCTAGTAACGCAGAAAGGGTCGTTGTCGTATCCGGTACTACATATATGCACCCGTGGTAGTTTTAGGTTGTTTAGTATTATGTTTATATTTTTACATGAGGTATGTTTAGGGTTAGGGTTAGGGTACACTTCTGTAGTACAAGTCTGGTACACTTTGTGTATACATATATGTACCTCGGGTACATATATGTAGTACCTGATACGACAACGACCCCTTCAGCCCTAGTAACAGATGCATCATTCCTCAGTAGAAAAAATTCACGCCTGCTCCTCATCTCTTTCCACTACCCTGTAACCCATCACTCACGCTGCTAGCTAGCTAAACTATTCAATGAATTCATAGGAAGAAGACATGTTCGGACCTTCTCCAAGCTTTCTCTGGGCAATCTAATGATTCTAACAATAGACAGTAACACTATGTACAATAACTAATGATTGTTTCCTCTCATCCAGAAAACTCTTCACAATAATGACAGGGGTAGAAATTAACTTTTGAAACGCGGAGTCCAACGGACTCCCTACCCTCAAAAAGAGGGAGTCCGCAGCAAAATGAGGGAGTCTGCAGTTCTTGAGGTTCAAATTAAAGATATATTAACAATAACGCATGTGCTTATTTTTAAGATTCATGCGGTTGCACGTCTGTCAAATTTTCTTTGGATATTAGCTGAAATAATACGGTATTTCCACGAAGCCATGGCACTAGGTAGTAATGCAGAATTTTCAGGGAGTCACACGGACTCCTTGCATTACGTCAAATCAGGGAGTCCGACAGTAAATCTGGAGCTATTTGACTCCGACTCCCGTTAATTTCGCACACCTGTAATGACATTCCTAATATCATTGTAACATTTCATCATATATGTGTGTATTGTCATATATTATATATGTAATATATATCATCGGGTCATTGCCGCGGCGACCGCATCATGCGTTACCTGCCCTGCGCGCGTGTCTTCCGCGTTGTCCAACAGCCTCGTGACAGGCCATCTGAAGCTTCGTCACAGAATCTGAAGCCATAAACACCAACAGGGTTCGTAAATTCATGCGATGCCGCGCACTAGCTGACGACATTCGAGCTCTTATCCAATATATATTTATTATATAATTATATATATAATAATTATATTACTATAAAATATAAACAATAATATAAAATAATATTAAATTTATCTCTCATTATATTTCTCTCTGTCATCTCACGCTCCTCCCTCCTTCGCGCGCGACCACCCACCCATGATGATCTCCTCCTCCTCCTCAGCAAGATTCGTGACTGTAGAACAGCGTTCTCGCCGAGGCCGCGCGATTGGTTCGGCGCCGCCGCATCGGCCCACGCACGATCGGCACGGAGGCTGCCCGCGTCGAAGTCGTCTGCCCGGTTGCCGGGGGCAACGTGTGGAACGTCGCCGACGCGTCGCTAGAGCGAGCTCAGGCCGCGCGAGAGGATGCTGCGAGTAGAGGAGCGTCTGAAAGAAGAGAAGAGGGTAGAGAGAGAGAGAGATGAGAGAAGAGACTGGAGGAAGAAGTAGATGAGAGAGAGAGAGGAGGAGAGAAGGGTAGAGTCAGACGAGAGAGAAGAGAGAGGGTAGAGAGAGTCAGAGAAGGAGGAGAGAGGAGTGAGAGAGTCAGAGAAGAGAATAGATTGAGAGAGTAGAGAGATGAGAGAGAGAGAGAAGGTGGTGAGAGATTAGTCAGAGAGAGGAGAGAGAGAGAGAGAGAGAGAGAGGAGAGAGAGAGAGAGAGGAGAGAGAGAGGAGAGAGCAGAAGGATAACGAAGAGAGAGAGAGAGGGGCCGAAAAGATAGAGCGTAGTAGAGAGAGGCATGAGGGTAGATAAAGAGAGAAAGTAAAGATACCGAGAACGAGAAGATAGAGAGAGAGAGAGAGACCACCGACGAGTAGAGAGAGAGAGACGAGAGAAGAGAAAGAGAGAGAAACAGAGAGAAAAGTAGAAGGTAGAGAGCTTAGCAAAAGAGAGAGAACGCAGAGACCAATGCATCAGCATGGATGTAACTTGCGACGACACTCACGCCTTCTCCAGCTCCGACACTACTACACCCTTGCCGGCTCCGACGAACACTCACGGCAGGTGTCGGTTTTAAAATGAGAATGGGAGTGTGGGTAGAGGCGCGTTCTGGCGGGTTTTCAGCGCGCGGAGCCTTACTCGCTCCGAAACATCTCACCTTCTCAGGCTCGAACTCACTTCACGCGACGACCTTCTCGGCTCCGACACACTCACGCCTTCTCGCTGCCCGATCACACTCACCCTTCTCGGCTGCCGCCACACTTCACCCTTTCTCGCTGCCGACATCACTACGCCTTCTCGCTCCGGACACACTACAGCCCTTCTCGTCTCCGACAGTCACTCACCCTCTCGGCTCCTGATTTCACACTCACGCCTTCTCGCCTGCCGACACATCACCATCCTCGGTCGGCTCGACACATGCTCACCCCTTCTCGGCTCCGACACACTCACACCTTCTCGGCTTCCGACACAATCACTCACCCTCTCTCGGCTCCGACACACTCCTTCCGCTCCGACCACTACCCTTCTCTGCCCGAAGCACCCTCACCTTCTCCTCCAGAGCACACTCACCCTTCTCGGTCGACACAACTCACCATTCTCGCTACCAGACACAGCTCGATTGTTCGGCATCACCTTCTCGCTCCGGACATGTTAGTGGAGGCCGGGGGCAGACCGCTCTCCCTCCCGTCGGCGTCAGCGACCTAGGATCTGCTCTGCGCGTGGCAGGATGGCGATGCGAGGCGAACGATTGATTGAGGCCCTCCGTGGGCGATGTGTTACGTCGACATCACGCTGAGTCGCGACTAACACGAGCGCAGCAGCTTCGTGTTGCAGCGATGCAGCGCCAGCCTGCGAGGCAGAGAGACAGAGCAGTGAGACAGAGACCAGGACAGTCGAGTGCAGATGAGAATAAGATCGGGGTCGGAGACAGTGAGAACAGGATGGAGAGACCAGAAAGCAATTGAACAGAGATCAGACAGAGATACAGACAGCGAGACAGAGACACACAGAGAGACAGACAGCGAGACAGAGAGACAGAGAGCAGTGAGGTGGGCATCAGAACTCATGTATGTAACGTCAAATAATGTCATATCAAACATTAGAGATCGTTGATTCATATGTCGTTAATTTATGCTGGTCATTATTTCTGTCGTGAATGATCGTGTAAATTTAAGAGAAACCTCCGCTCCAGCAAAAAAACACCTCGCACTTATCTTGAATTAAAAATCTCGAATTATCTCGAAAATAAACTATTCCACATAATATCGCAACTAACCGCTATTGCAGCGTGTTGCGTTACCATGCTCAGTTGTATCGCGTAATGCAACACGCGCATGTTGCACCGTGTTGCGTGACACACACACACGCACATCGTAACTCCCTATGCTAAGTTGTATCGTGTAACATGACACAGGTGCACATCGCACCACATCACAACACGTTACGTTACGTGAGTACATACCTCTCCGCGCTCAGCTGCCCGACCTCTGACCTCAGCAAGCTCACCGTGTTACGCGAGTACGTACCTCTCCGTGCTCAGCTGCCCGACCTCTGACCTCAGCAAGCTCATCGTGTTACGCGAGTACGTACCTCTCCATGCTCAGCTGGCCGACCTCTGACCTCAGCAAGCTCATCGTGTTACGTGAGTACGTACCTCTCCATGCTCAGCTGCCCGACCTCTGACCTCAGCAAGCTGGCGACCTCTCGACCTCTCAGCAAGCTCCACAGTGTTACGTGAGTACGACCTCTCCGTGCCAGCTGCCCGAGCCTCTGACCTCAGCTGCGCCGACCTCTTGAACCTCAGCAAGCTCATCGTGTTACGTGAGTACGTACCTCTCCATGCTCAGCTGGCCGACCTCTGACCTCAGCTGGCCGACCTCTGACCTCAGCAAGCTCATCGTGTTACGTGAGTACGTACGCTCGCGCTCAGCTGCCGACCTCGACCTCAGCAAGCTCACCCCCCTGTTACGCCGAGTACATACGTACTCGTCTCGTGCTCAGCTGCCCGACCTCTGACCTCAGCAAGCTCATCGTGTTGCTCTCCATGCCGACGCTGCTGCGAGCGTGGTCTTCTCCTCCGTCGACACGTCCGCCCTCTCCCCTCTCTCTCCTGCTCATCCTCCTCTCTCCTCTCCTCCTCTCTGTCTCTCGCCTTCCTTCTCTGTTGTTGTGTGCTCGTGCTTGTCGTGGTGTGAGTGGAGACTCTCTTGCTGCAGCTGAGGTAGATGGGAGCATTATGTGAGATTGGGAATATAGTGTGTTTATATTGCTGTAGTATATATATATATAGCTGCTTAGACCTTACTTATTTATTACTGCTGCTGATCACGACTATCTCCCTCTCTCTCTCTCTCTCTCTCTCTCTCTCTCTCTCTCTCTCTCTCTCTCTCTCTCTCTCTTCTCTCTCTCTCTCTTCTCTCTCTCTACTCTATCCTCTCTCTCTCCTCCTCTCTCCTCTCTCTCTCTCTCTCTCTCTCCTCTCTCTCACACACACTCTCTATCCCCTCTCTCTCTCTCTCCTCTCTCTCTCTCTCTCTCCTATCTCACACACACTCTCTCTATCTCTCACTCCTCTCTCTCTCCTATCTCTCACACACACTCTCTCCTCTCTCTCTCTCTCTCTATCTTTCTCTCCTCTCTCTCACACACACTCTCTCTAACTCTCTCTCCTCTCTCTCTCCTTATCTCTCACACACCACTCTCTCCTCTTTTCTTCTCATTTTTG